TACTCCACCGAGAATAAATCTGTGTCCTCGTCTAATGGCAAATGTCATTTTAGGGTAGTGATCAAGGAGGAAAAATGGAAGTACTTTATGTGGAAAAACAGATAAACTGTGAGGGTATTTCTTAACCCAGAGCACAAGGCTGTCTGGAATATAGTACAAATCTATCAATAATGCAGTTAAAATAGTTTACCTTCTTAACGTGACTGGGTTCAGTTCACTGATCTTCATTCAAGCTCACAGTAAAGTTATTTAACAGCACGGGCTACACATGATACCACACAGACCAAAGCATTATAGATTTTTCCAAATGTAAGTCCAAACTGATTGCAGCCAAACATAAATTTAATCAAATCTTTATTAAACTCTATTAAGGCCTGAATAAGATTTTAAAGCTTCGTCTCAGCTACAGAAGCTAGGACAAGAGCTGGACCAGTTAAAAACAGCCCAATAAAAAGTTATCTTTGGACATAATCGTTATTCTCAATGTCCTCTAAAATAATGCATTTTTTTTTTCAAATGTAAGAGTGAGCAATTACCTGTCATTGTAAAATGACAAATTTTATAAGGGGGCCGGTTGTGTTCCCCCCCCCACCCCCAGCTTCCCACCAGAGGCTGACCTCTATTACATGCCCCATGGATGCACACTTCACATTCCAACAATAGGGGTACCTGTACGCCTAATGCTGCATTTTCCTAGAACAAAATTCTCTCTCAAAGCACAGAAGGAAAGACACAAACCATTTTTCCCCCGTCTCTAGTTGCGGTGGGAGAAGTATATTCCAACAGCCGTGTCAGGTATTTGGCACAATCTGTTATTCCAAAATGCCTAGGCAAGGTTTAGAATGAGAAAAGCAAAATATCATTTTGTACTGTGAGACTTATTTAGGCTGTAGTAACTGGTAGTCCCCTCAGACGGAAGGCTTTTCGTCTGAAAAGATGGGCTAGACCTGCTCTACCCTAGGCTGAGAATGCATACTCAGATATGTGATCAGGGTCAACTTGACTGCATCAGAATTTATTTTTTTAATTTAATTTTTTTATGTTCAGTTAGCCAACATATAGTACATCATTAGTTTTTGATGTTCAACGATTCATTAGTTGCGTGTAACACCCAGTGCTCATCACATACATGCCCTCCTTAATGCCCATCATCCAGTTACCCCCTCCCCCCCACCCCCTCCCCTCTGTAACCCTCAGTTTGTTTCCCGGAGTCCAGAGTCTCTCATGGTTTGTCTCCCTCTAGGATTTCTTCCCACTCAGCTTTCCCTCCCTTCCCCTGTGGTCCTCTGCCCTATTCCTTATATTCCACATATGAGTGAAACCATATGATGATCACATCAGAATCTTAGGAAGAAAAACACAGGCAGGGTGGGGGTTCCTTGGTCGGACAGGACAGGACTCTCCAGGTATGTGGCTGGGAAGGGGCAGGTGGGAGAATGGGAGGAGGAGACAATCAGAGGTCCTGGGGGGAGAGGTACTTGAACTTGTGCTACAGACACTAGCCAGGTGTGGTTGGTAACCAACTGAAATATACTGTAAGAATAAAAGCCTCGAAGTATGAAAAAAATGTGAAAGCTCTCAATTTTAGATTGATTGCGTGTTGACATTGCATGTGAGATAATATTTGGGGTAGATTCAGTTAAGAAACATTAAAATTGATACCCTGTTTTTCTACTTTTTGAATGTGACTATTCAAGATTTAAAGCCACCTGGGTGGCTTATATTTCTAGTAGTCAGTTTATATCCACTTCCCAGGGTGGAATTATGGCTCATGTTTACTTGTGTTTCCTGTATTTTTCAAACAGAAGAAAATGAGAAATCATGTGTCTTTCAGAAAAAATAGTAAATGTATAAAGGATTTTGGAGTCTGGCAAGCATGTGTCCTAGGTTCAGGATGTGGGCAACTAACCTGAGACTCAACTTCCTCCTCTGTAAAATGAAGATAGTAACAGCTTTGATCTCACCAGGTTATTTTCAGAAGTGACAAATGCATAGGAGAGAAGCACAGAGTGCTTAGCACAGAGACTGACATAGGGAAGACTCAATAGTTTACATTATTCTTGGTTATATGTCAAGATTTTTCTGATGCCTACTCCTTTTTTTTTTTTTTAGATTCTGAGAGCACGAACGCATTAGCAGGGGGAGGGGCAGAGGGAGGGGAAGAAGCAGACTCCCATCTGAGCAGGGAGCCCGACTTGGGGCTCCATCCCAGAACCCCAAGATCATGACCTGAGCCGCAGGAAGATGCTTAACTGACTGAGCCACCCAGGCGCCCCTCTGATGCCTCATCTTTACTTAATCCCTGTGGATTTCTAACTCAGCTCCTTGTCTCTCTTGTTCTCCAAGTTCGTATTTGCTATCCTACCTTGCTACTGTACACCCAGAAAGCCAAGATTTCCCCTTTCCTTATCACTGGAGAATCTTGGGTCTGGTTCCCTATTTTTGGCAACTTGTTCAGAATAAGGTACCTCCCACTTATTGACTCTAGCTCACTTGGATTTCAGAGCCAAAATTTTCTGACTAAAACTGCAAATCAGTCCACAACTCTTTGCTCACGTCCCTTGCCTCATCCCTAAGATACTTGGTCGTGCTTTTTACGGAACTGCTTTTTTTTTTTTTTTTTTTTTTTTTTTAGATTTTATTTATTTATTTGAGAGAGAGAGACATAGCGAGAGCAGGAACACAGGCAGGGGGAATGGGAGAGGGAGAAGCAGGCTCCCCGCCGAGCAGGGAGCCCGATGTGGGACTTGATCCCAGGACCCTGGGATCATGACCTGAGCCGAAGGCAGATGCTCAACGACTGAGCCACCCAGGCGCCCTGAACTGCTGCTTTTGATGGGAAGGTCAGTCAAGGACAACTGATACCAGCAAAGGGGGTGAAGGTAACAAGAAGGGTCATGCAACCGGGAGCTCAGCAGAACAGGGCCAAAGCCAGGACAGAAGAACAACAACTTTGTAACTTGCCCCCCTCAAACCCGGCCCCCTTTCTCACTGCTTTTCTTCCAGGGGCTTGAAAAGCTGTGCTATGTTCAACCCGAGTAAGTACAAGTAGGTTCTCATCGCCTTCCTAGATTCTTGCTGCCTGAAGGACCACCTCCCACAGCGTAGCAGAGCACACATCTGAAACCCTGTGCTCGATTTCCTTGTTCTGGGAACTAAGTCTTCAGATGAAGATGGTTGTACTTGTCTGAAATGCAGTGGCAGAGGAGAGAAAAGAACTTAAGCCTTGATGAAGACATGTAGCTTCCCTAGGTAGGAGAAGCTTCCTAGTTCTTTCAGTTAGTGAGATGAACCTTCCAGTCAGAACTGCTGCTGATAAAAACAAGGAGAAGTCACTTAGGGACCCACTTGGAACAGTACACGTGGCTGGAAGGGTCCGTGCTTCTCGAAGCGGTGGGAAAAAGGCTCCTGATTTCCTATGCAAGTATGTTTTTTTTAAGCACAGAGAAATGTTGATTTTTCTTTCCAACCACCAGCTTTAACTAGGTGATTCAGACGATACTCTTGACTTAAGGTGATTTTTTTGGCCTTTTCATCAGATCAATGTTACTTTGCTCATTTTATTTTTAGATTCACCGAGTGTTCTCAGGGAAGCAAACTCAAAGGAAAGAAATAAGCAAATTGATGTGTGTTTTAAGCTTGGGCTGAGGTTTGACAAGAGAAACCCTTGGAAATTATCAAGGGAGAGGAGCTTCCAGGGCTGCCTTTGCTGACAGCCGGGATTTGTGGAGGATTTGTTGAGGGAACTGGGCTATTGCAGTGGTAAAGAACATACCTAGGGCCACTCAGTCACCAGGTAAGGCATGCTCAGGTGAGTGTGTGTGAGAGGGCCAACCCCGGAGGTGCAAACGGGGCTGGTTTTCCTGGAGCATTTATGAATGAAATGTTTATCATGGATCAGAGGCAGACAGGGATTATTGCCAACCATCGCTTCCCTGTGGTTTCCTAGAAAATACAAAGTTTCAAAATGTGAATGAATCTTCCTTACTATGATAATCAGATTTAGGAGACGGAGGAAGCATTTCTAAAAATTCAAAGCACAGCTTTAAGATACCAGCTCCCCACACAGGAACTTACATTCTGGTGTCTTGGCTCCAGAGCGAAGAGAGCAAATGCTCTGTAGATTCTTGATCTTCCTTTTTTTGGAATGTGTGTGTTTTTTGGTCACTGCAGGTAAATGTTCCTTTCCTCTGTCAGAGGTCATAGAAACAGAGATGAGTGTGTAAGTTGAAATGCAAATACGTGGGAATGCAAACATGTCCGTTCAGTCCACTTGTGATCCGCTTATGGGTCAGAGCGGTGTCCCTCCAGGGCCTGATCGTTTTGGAGGTTGCTGTACAGCTCAGTGCCACAAGGCAATGAGCATGCTCCTGGCTAAACTTGAAGTTTTATATTTTCCATTATGTGAGGGTGATTGTCTTTTCCCCACCATGAAGGTGGAAGAGATGATACAGCTAAAAATATTTGAAAATGAACAGAAGTGCTATTGCAGGAACAAGTATTAGAATTATGGGTGTACACACCTAGTAAATACATGTCCAAGAAACATTCTCAGTGACTGGCTCTTCCCGATTTTTTGTCCCTTGAAAATGAATTCACAATCGTCAGTGTGACTAAATATGCTTCTTGTGACAAGGGACACCATTTCCATTTGTCTTGAAAATATCACTGGGTCTTTATGTGGACATTCTTTAAAATACAAATATTGTTTTACCTGCTTTTACAGAGTGTATACATCTATTTCCTTAAAACAAAAAGACAAAACTAGATTACCAGACTCTAATATGCTTCCTGGTTACCCAACAATGAAAACTTTAATTAAAAGCTAACAACAGGTGCAAACAATTGTCTAAAGCATTTAATGGTCTTTAACATAGTCCACTTCCCTGGCCTTAAAACATTGGTACCATTTCCTGGCCAGTAAGCACAGAACTGGGGAGCTCAATATTTAGTTTCTTGCATTATTCTCATGCTGCTGGTCTCTCCTCTCGCCTGCTCAGGGCTGATTGTCGTGACCTTGGCTGTCTGCTGGATGCCTAACCAGGTGCGGAGGCTTATGGCGGCGGCCAAACCCAAGCACGACTGGCCCAAGACCTACTTCCGGGCGTACATGATCCTCCTCCCCTTCTCCTACACCTTCTTCTACCTGAGCTCCGTCATCAATCCGCTCCTGTACAACGTGTCCTCGCAGCAGTTCCGCAAGGTGTTCTGCCAGGTGCTCCGCTGCCACCTGACGCTGCCCCACGCCAACCACAGCAAGCACCTGCGCACCCACGTCACCTCCGCTGCCGCCAGCACCCGCTCAGCGCGCCGCCCCCTGATCTTCATGGCTTCCCGTTCCTCGGCAAGAACTGACAAGGTTTTCTCGAGCACTTTCCAGAGCAAGGCCAAACCCGAGTCTAAGACCCAGCAATGGAGTCTCGAGTCGCTAGAGCTCAACTCAGAGATGAAACCACCCACCTCTGCTGCAGGGACTGGTTTACAGGAGCATGAAGTGTGAATGTCAAGTATGGAAGCCTTGAGGGCTAACCGGCTGCCACCCCCCCCCCCCCAAAAACAACATATCCTGACACAGCAGTGACAAACTGCCCCTATGAGGGACAGGTGTGGAAGCTAGGGGCCCTGGAAAAAAATGGATGCCCACCTATGCGCCTTCTAAGGGTGGATTCTGCCAGCCGGACCTTGACTGAGGAGAGAGACTTTTGCTCACCCCTTCAAGTACACACTGAAAATTCAGACTGAATTTATTCAGAGCTTACAAAAAATGTTTTACACTGAGCTCTTGCATTGGAACTGAAAGAAAGAGGACACACTCCCCTCCCCACCCAGGAGAAGCTTGGGGAGCAGAGGGAGTGAAGGGCCGGAAGAACAACGCAGGAAGGGTGAGCATCATCTCCTTCAACTTCAGCAGTGAGCCAAGAGGAGGGCTAATTGGAGGAGCAGGATGGTGGTGCGGAGCCCAGGCCGAAGGGCCAAGGCAGAACTGCTCCGTTTCTTGGGCCGGGGCCCGTTGCAAAGAGGGGTGTTACAGCAGCTGATGCACACTGAGTTCAGTTTCCCAGGGGAGCAGAAGGATTGGTACCCGGCCGAGGCGATGAGGCAGGCTGCCGAGGATGCACACGACTTGCGGTACATGATGCCTGCAACACAAACCCATGGACTTGGGTTAGCTGCTGTTGGCTAAAGGATAGCTCATCCTTACTCCTCCCACAGCCCAGGTACTTGGAGGGGGGGGGGGGGCGGGGCAGGAAGGTACTTTGGGTTGTTTCATTGAGCACCCACCCCTCCTCTGCCAAAATATATAAGGAAGAGGACTTCTTCCCCCTATAGCTCCACTATTTCTCACAAGTTGTTGCAAAGAGCTATTAAAATCAAAGTTCACTTTAAAAAAATTTACACAGAACGTTTCACTTTTTTATTGCTGTAGCTCTCTCATGCCACGGAGAATGATACTATATGATGGCGCTCACCTCTGGGTGTATTAAATCCTAGAATTCCCTGAAAAACTAATAATGCCCATGGGAATAAGATCCCTACTGAAGGGACCCTGATTTTTCCCTACATCTTAGTGAGGGGGTGGCCCAATGTTGACAGTGTACCCAGCTTATTCCAGGAAACCAGCTTTGCCCTCAGAATATATGGCCATCTGCCTACTTAGCAGCACACAGCCTCCATTTATTAACATGCTGTGTAGCACATCATCAAAGGAGATTATCTTGAATAATCATTTAAGTTCTCAGAGCTGGAACCTTATTCAATTCAAATAATAGCTAGCTTCATTTAAGTGCTTACCTGTAGGCCAGGCACTCTACAGGGGGCTGTAGCGTACTAGTTCAACCCTACAAGGGAGGTCCCCATTTCACAGATAGGGAGCATTAACGGCAAGAGAAGTTTAAGAACTTACCCGAGGTCACACTCCTGGGAAATAGAGGAGCTGGGATTTGAACTTAAATTCTGGCTCCATTCTGTCACATCCTTACTAGTATATATAACCAAGCAGCCCGCCAGTAAACTGTAAAAAAAATGTGTGTGGGGGGGAGGGGGTGCAGTGGAGAGAAATATGTCCTCTAAAACTGGACGTGAATGGCTTTAGCTTGTGCGCTACCCTGAACAGCTGAGGGCTCCAACCTACCTTACTCTGACTCCCTGCAGAGGTGTGTGTTTGCAGGCAGTGCTTTCGTTTGCATCTTCCTCCCCCTTATGAATTGGGTTATGGAGAAATAGTAAAGAATTGAGCGACCTAACACAAGTGGGAGTAAAGAAATACTTTAAAACATACGATTTTAAGCCATTTTTGTTCCATAACTACACATATGAAAGGATGGATTTTCTAACAGTCTTTTAACACTGGAGACAGTAGCTGCTCGGGTAAGATAAGGTCCACAGACAGGGGGCGTGTGTGTGTGAGGCACTGTTCGATTTGTAAGAAGCCTGCTGCCAGGCATTGCCCATTTATAGATTTCTCACAGTCCCTACATTTTCTATCCATTTCCATTTTAGGAACTTTTACTGTCATTTGCTAGTTTAACTTCAACTTTCTTCCTTTAAGTGAATTTTAAAAATTAAGAATACTTAATATATTTTTCACTGTAAACTCAGTGAAATAAGGTGAAAGTGTCACCTGACTAGGTGCCCCCCCCATAAAGGTTAGCTTTCTTACCAGTTTGGAAGGCCTCCTTCCAGGCCTGTTTCTATACATTTACATATATGCCCATGGAAAAATAGTGTGTGCGTGTGTACACACACAGATTTGTTAATGGTATAACATCCTATATGCTGTTCTACAGTTTGCATTTTTACTTAGTGACATGGCTGAGGATTTATTTTTAAGCCTAACTCTGAAGGGCTAAGGAGTGGTGATGAGGGAGGTTAGATAATTAATGCACAAAGGGAGCCCTGTGACTGCTGCCCAGGGGACACTTACAGATCACCTGTTCTGGTGGCAAGTGGATCTTATGCTTGTGGTCCCACAGGACTATACAGAGGTCCATTCTTTAAAGCTGGTGCCTCCAGGTCTGGCTTCCACTCAGCCTGAATCTAGGTGCAGAGATCCTCTCTCTGGGGACACTGACCTGTCTAGGCACATCCTCAACAGGCTGCTTGTAGAAACACAGAGAAGAGTGAAGCAAACAAAACAGTGGAATATGTTCCAAATGAAAGACCAAGATAAAGCTTCAGAAAGAATCTTACAGAACCAGACACAAGTAATTAACCTCACAGAGTTAAAAGTAATGGTCATAAAGATGCTCACCAAACTGGGAGAAGAATGGATAAACAGTGAGAACATCAACAAAGAGAAAATATAAATATCAAGTAGAGTCACAGAGCTGAAGAATGCAGTAACTGAACTGAAAATAACAGCAGAGGAATTCAACAATAGACTAGAAGCAGCAGAAGAAAGCATCAGCGAACCCAAAGACAGGGCAGAGAAACTCACTCTATCAGAGCAGCAAAAAGAAAAATGTAAACTAAGTAGTTTAAGGGACTTACGAGACCACATTTATTGGCTAACATTCTCATTTATAGGAGACCCAGAAGGACAAGACAGGGACAGAAAACTTCCTTGAAAAAATAATGTCCAAAAACTTCCCTAACCTGGGGAAGGAAAACAATATCCAGGAAGCCCAGAGAGTTCCAAATAAAGTGACCCCAAAGAGACACAAAGACACATAATTAAAATGTCAATGTTAAACAAAAGGAGAGGCTGAAAAGAAAGGATGTTAATTAGTGGCAAAACACATGTAAGCTATAAATCTCACTGGTAAAGATAAATATATAGGAAAGGTAGTGGATTAATTACTTATAAAGCTAGTAAAAATAACTATAATTAGTTAAGGGTTACACCAGATTAAAAAAACCAAATGTGACAAGAAAAAATGGGGACAAAATAAATACGTAGAGCTTTTGAATGCATTTAAGCATATTAACTTACAATAGACTATTGTAGACATAAGTTGTTATATGTAAGCCTTAAGGTAACAACATAGCAAAAACTATAAATAGATACACAAGAGAAGAGAAAGGAATCTAAACATACCACTAAACAAGGTCATCAAGTGACAAAGGAAGAAAGCCAAAGAAGGAACAGAGAAACTACCAAACAGCCAGAAAACAATTAACAAAATAGCAGTAAGTACATAACTCTAAACAATTATTTTAAATACAAATACTAAATTCTCCAGTCAAAAGATGTAGTGTGGCTGGATTAAATACCACCACCAACAACAAAACAAGACCCATCTATACACTGCTTATAAAAAGACTAATTGCAGATATTCCATGCAAATGGAAACCAAAAGAAAGCTGGGAAAGCTATACTTGGACAACATAGCCTTTAAAACAAAGACTGTAATAAGAGACAAAGTACGACATTACATAAAGGGGTCAATCCAGCAAGAGGATAGAACATTTGTAAATATTTATGTACCAACATAGAAGCACCTAAATATATAAAACAAATATTGATAGACCTAAGGGAGAAATAGCAGTGCAATACTTGGGGACCTTAATATCCCTTTTACATTAACAGATCATCAAGACAGAAAATCAACAAGGAAACCTCGAACTTAAAGAACACTGAACTAGATGGAATGTTCTGTATATGTTAAGCCCATGAAGAAGCAACAGGGCAGATAGAGAAGATGGCACAGTAGGAGGACCCTGGGCTCATCTCGTTCCACAGCCATACCCAGGCAATAACTGTATCTATGCAACTAACTGAAAATGACTTGAAAATTGACAGAACAGATATTCCATAACTCGTCACGGAGAAAAGGCCACATGGATGAAGATAGGAGGGACAGAGATTCAGTTGAGAAGTGAACCCCTAGAGAAAATAACCACAAGTGGGAGAGAAGTCAAAAGTATAGAGGAGTGAAGGGATCAGACCCCACACTGGGTAACCCTAGCCCTGAGGATCTCCACTAAAAAGACCATTCCCACAATGTCTGGCTTTGAGAGAGCCAGAAGGCAACAGGCAAAGTCCCCACCCTTAAAGAGACAGCATGCTAAATAAATTGGCCTGAGACATAGCATAGAAACAGCAATGTGCAAAGCACCTGGGGTGCACATAAAGGAGATTTATTGACTAATCTTAGAACTTGTGCTGGAGGGGTAGGGATCTTTCAGAGAGTTCTCTGGGAACAAAAGTATTGCTGGGCACCATTTTTCTTGTTCTCCCCCAGCCTAGACAGTTCTCTCCCTTGCAGAAGCCAGTTCTGACACACTCCATCTACTTTGCTAGTATCAAAAGGACTCCTGCCCTGAAAAGGGGAGGAGATAAGCCTACATACCAGTGTGCCTGAAGTTCTTGCATCTAGGAGTCTTAGCTGGATGCATAGGAAGCAAGCCCTGCTCTTTGGTAGAGGTAGGGTAGGGCAGAGGCTAATTGCAGACAGCTAGGCTGAGTGCTGACCCCCCATCCACCAGCAAGCTCATAGTGGCTGTAGCTGGGTTTCTCAACAGCAGGTGGAGCAAACCCTGCCCAGTGTGCCCATAGCAGCTGAAGTGGCTTACTGCAGCCAACTGGGCTGAAGCCAACTCCAACCCACCATGCCCAGAGCAAATGTGGCTCAGCCACAACAAGAGGGCC